TTTAAAAATAAACCCAATTGCATCTTTTTTTCCACACTACTATCCAGTTATCCCAACCTCACTTCTCAAAAAGTCCATATTTTCCTACTGATTTGATGTCATCTTTATTTTATGCTTTCACTTGCATTTCTGGAGTTTCTGTTTTGTTCCATCGGTCTGTCTATCTGCTCATGCTGTTTAACTCTGCTTTTAATTTCTAACATGTTTTCCCTTTCTGACTTCCCCTATTTCTACTAGTTATCATGCAACTACTACCAATAACAATGCAATGAGTTGTATTTCTAAAAATTAAGCACTTTTACCAATGTTACTTTATTTTTTCCACATACCTATAGAGTAAATGGGAAAGACATCTTTGTATCTTTTTGCAGACTAGATTTCATAGGCTTTACCTCTGCTTCTGCAGCAGCTGAGCGTTTCTTTACCACTTGATTTACCACATATGTTGAAATTACTAATATCTATTTATGAATACAATTAGAAATTCCTGTGTCGTATAAAAACTTGGAATATGATAAATTCTCAGTGTTTGTTGTTGTTAAACCAAGTGTAGAAACTGAGACATAATTCAATTACATGACTTGCCCAAGACCTCATAGAAATAACTGAAGTGGAGCAAGAACCCAAGCCTTATTTTTTGTAGTCTGGAGCTCACTCTACTACACCATATAATGAGGCGGTGAAGCACTGAAAATATCATCCACAGAAGCCCCTGCCCCTGTTTCTCAGAGCTCTGTGGTCTGTGGGCCACAGCTTAGCAGTACGCGTCCTCCTACTCATTCATACAATGGGGACAATATGCAAAAAGGTGTCTCTGTCAGTCCCAAATAGCAATAGAGAGGAAAATACAGAGTGTATGCTTTTTGTTGAAAAACCGCTTTGGAATTTTCTAGAGTATCTAATTATCAAATAATGTTGGATTTTTGTGAATACACACAAATACACACATATGTATATAACATACATATTATTTTTAGATTCAAATTTTCTAAATAACTATTTAGCATCCATGCATTAGCTTCCCAATCTCCTATTTGAAAATATATTCATCTGAATAAAGAAATATAATTCTTCTTCAGGTGATACAGATCTATATAACCAACTCTGTTTACTACCATCCTATTGTGGTCCAAATAGTACATTTTTAATGTGTGATAAGGTAACCTTTTTTGGAGACATTAACAAGAGAAAACTTCATCAGCTTCCAGTATAATTAGCATAGAAAATGTTCGCCAGTAGCTTACTTTACACAAGGCTCTGTAAAATGAGTACTTGGGAGTTGTTTTTTATTTTGTTTGTTTTATTTACTATTTCTCAGTTATAAGATCACCCAGCTATGATGAAGTAAAACTCTTTCTTCCCTCTAGCAAAATATATAATCCTTATTTTGGCTCCTTCTTCTCTGATGACTAAATTGGAAATTTCTCAAAGCTGTAATTCAAAGCCATAGGTGACCTTAAAGAAATGATTTTTTATATGCTACCTTTTCTTTTAAGGTAACTTTTCAAATGTGGACCATGCATTCCATTATGTTTAGCTGTCAAGCATGGCCTTCATTTGCATTTCTTCCCACTGCTATAATTTTGAGAACTGGCAGGTGACCAAAGAAGAAAAAATGTGCATCTACCATCTAGAGTGCAATGTAGGCTTTTTTTTATTATAATTAAGTAGCATAGATATTCACGATTAGATCAAGGTCGGAAGAGTAGAACATCAGAGCCAAGGACTTAAAGGTACAAAGAATAGGAAAATTGCTTTCCGAAAGTTTTTTTTAAGTAGTAATAACTACAATATTTAAATTTCACAATAAAACATTTAAAATAGCTCATCTGTTTTATTTTAAAATGTGCACGCCTGGTGTGTTTGCTATGAACATTTAAACCAGAGCTTGAGGTCTCAGTTGAATTTTTCATTTCAGTTCTTTTTTTCAACTTCCCATTTCTGCTCCTGGTGCAGAAAAGCAATTCAAGAATTATAATGATAATGGATTTTTTTTTAAGGCTGAGTCTACATGACACTCAAAAGTATTTGTATAGAAAGCATGAGTTTTCTATTAAAGTCTAATGGATTAATCCAAGGAGGTTGTGTGATGTTTAGATGTAGATGTTTTCAACAAGATATCCATCCTAACATTCAGTGGTAATAGCTATGGCTTCATGGGGCGACTGTCACTCCCTTTGTGTAGACAGATTACTGTAGAGTTAGTAACTGGCTTATTGGCTCGCTCTCAGTCTAGCGGATCACTTTGGGTTTATCACTTCCCCACTTTCCTTCTCTTATAATTCACCTAGCACATCATCTACCTCTTCTCAGTCTCCTTGACTAACCTTTCTCCTGTGATAATTTCCAAATTGATGTGGAATCCCAGGATTTATTCTAGGGACTGTGAATCTTCTCTACCCACCCTCTTTCCCTAAGTAATCTCTAGTCCCATGGCTATTAAAGCCATCTATACACCAAATACTCAGTTTCGTTCTGGCCTCTCTCCTCACCTTGAAAAACACATATTCTACTTCCTATTTGGCATTTTGACATTGTTATCTAATAATTTCTCAAACTTAACCTGACCAACACTCAACTCCTGATTCACCCAACTACAAATTGGCTCCTTTCTTATTTTCTCCCTCTTAATACATGTCACCAACACCCAGTTGTTTAAGGGGGAAAAAGGGACTCATCTTCAGATCTTCTCATCTCTTCACCCTCTTCTCACATCAGAATATTTCATTGATTGTTCAAAAACACGTCCCACCTCTCTTTCTTGCTGCTACTATAGTACTCCAAGTCACCACTACCTCCTCTATTGTCCCCTAAAATTCATTATCCACACAGCTACCAGGGTTCCAGAGTAACTTTTTAAAAATATACATCACATGATATCTCTACCCTGCTAAAACTTTTTAATGGTTTCCCATAATACTGAAGGTAAACTTCAGGCTCCTTACCTGGGCCTGTGTGGTCTGACCCCTGGCCACCTCTTGGACCTCCTCTCCTCCCAGTCTTCTCACTAACTGAGCTACTGCCTCATTGGCCTTTATGCTTTCTGGGCCTCTCCCAGCTCATTTCTACTTTGTGATATGTCTGGCCTATGTTTCTTCTAGTTCTTTTTGCCTGCTTCCAGTCCTTTAATCCTCAATTCATATGTCAAGTTTTTAGGAGGTGTCCTCTATACCCAACCCCACCATGGGTCCCTATCACATCAGCGTGTTGTGTTTTCATGGTAAGACTTGCCTAATATTTTCCTGCTTGTAGTGCCTCCCCCACAACAAAAAAGACTCAGGAGTTTGTAGGTCTTGTTCACTGCTAAATTCCCAGGTCCTAGAGCAGTTCCTGGCTCATCGTAGATACTCAGTAAATATGTTGAATGACTGAATGATTATATTCACATTTCTTTGGCATCGATTAAGTGCACTTGCTATGCTAGCTAGAGTTTTAGACCTCATTCATACTGTAGCATTTCTCGTTTCTTGATCATTTTGCTTTTGTTGCTTCATAGGTGTCACTATATCAGATACAATTTTATTTGTTTAAATAAATTCATTTTTCAAAGTGTATATTCAGTTGAAGCCAGTGCCACTCAAATCCTAGTCCATGGAGCAGAGGGGATCTATGAACTGTTTGTTACTGGTGTGCAGCAATAGAAATACAGACACTAAGACAAAACATACAGAAATATTTATGGAAAGTTGCATTTTGTGTCTGTTGAATCTAATAACAAAAATATCGGGCTTACATTTCA